TTTTTTCTTTTTTTCTTTTTTTTTCTTTTTTTTTTTTTTTTTTTTTTTTTTTTTTTTTTTTTTTTTTTTTTTTTCTTTTTTCTCTTTTTTTTTTTTTCTCTTTTTTTTTTTTTTTTCTTTTTTTTTCTCTTTTCTCTTTTTTTTTTTTTTTTTTTCTCTTTTCTCTTTTTTTTTTCTTTTTTTTTCTTTAGGAGCAATACCAACAAAACATATTTCGATCAGTGTTTTGAGGCAGGAAGTTAAAACAATTTTGGATAAAGCTGAAGTCAAGAATGCGCTACAAAAGATTTTTGTTGCTTTGAAATGAATATACTTGAATATTGATTCACTTGGGCTAAGCCCAACAAGTCCAACCTCCAGTGTCACCACTTATATATGAAAAAGAAGTTGAAAATGCAATTGGTGTGTCTAACAGTTCTATGATTTTCAAAAGTTAAATTGACATAGAGAGAATTGTGGCTATGCCATAATATGTCTTGTGCACATATATATATATATGTGTGTGTGTGAGTGTCTGTGGTCTTTTGTGCAATTCTTGAGCTGGTCTCAGTCATGCCCATCATAGGCATGCAGATGATTAGCAGGTGGTCATTGGAACCTTGTATGTTGAACTTGACAGGAGTCCATCATATATATATATATATATATATATATATATATAGGAAAATAATATAAACTTTTATATCTCGAGAACAATTTTAGGGAAATCTATAACAAAGTGGAAAAAGTTTTTATGTGATGTTTTGTCCTTTAGGGCTTCATCCAAATAAACTAATGTTTAAGTTTTCTTCCTTCCTCTCTTGTAACCCAATAAGGAAATAGAGCAACAAGTTATCAATTACTAAATCATCTAAATAAATTAATAATTTACTAGCTAAATCTCATTTTGCCATAACACATTGACTGCCAACCACAAGATAACTAGTGGTTGGCAGTTTTTATTATGTCACTGACTATGAATTACCTCATGCTTGGCCTATTCTGATACATTTTCATCTGTGGGCATTCATAGTGGTACCTTTAGAGTGAAAACTTCTATTCAAGCCATAAATCAACTTATAAAAAAATTTTATTGCCTGTTGGTGTTTGAATTCAGATTTCATAATTGACCTCTGGCTGAAGATGTATTAATTTCAGCAAAATACCTTTCTTGCACTGATCTGTTTTTATGGATATTCAGGTCACATCTGTCTACTTTCTTATCCACATCTGTCACTCAGCCTGTGTCACATTCTCTAGAAAAGGAAACATGTCTTATACATTTGACATTTATTCAGACTAATATACATCTCTTTACTCTGTGTGTGTGTGTGTATATATATATATATATACACACACACACATACAGTGTATTGGGGCAGCAGAGTATTATTTAAACATATATTGCTAAATGAATACAATGAAGACAATGAATGTCTATTATGTTTGATCATGAGCTGTTCTAAACTCCATATATTTGCTTTAATTTCAGGTGAAAATAAAGACAAAAATTGTCCAACATTTGGATATATTTTTATTAAGCTGTTCCTTGATCTAAGCTTTCAGTACACATGAGCCATCTTCATAGTAGTTATGCGGACATTTAAACAAAGATATTCACCATCAAAGATGATATTCTGTTATGTTGACATAGAAGATTGCTATGTGATTATAACAGTTGCGGAATAGCAGACGTAGCTCGTAAATTTGTGATGCGGTTCTATGACGTTGTACCACGTAAGAGACCGAAATATTAACAGAATCATACATCTAGATGCAATGTAATGTGTTTTGACTAGTTTGAAATGTAATTTTGTTGAGTGTGGGTTGCTTTGTTTTAATGTAAATGGCCTCCAATATCTGAAGATTCTTTTTACTGTGTGTATGTGTGAGTATTGCTGTGTTATCAATTAATATCTGTCTAATACTATGTCCATGGCCATGTTTTTCTAAGAAATCTTGTTTAATAGAACTAAGTTCAGAAAGGTGACAGGTAAGTCTATGGGAGGGCATGATTGTAGTAAAACCAATATATGTAGTGGGTTTATTAGTATCAGAGATACAATCTCAGAACCGGCATGTAAGTTGATACACTACATTGGTTTTTTGTAGAGGATTTAGTTGTGTGGTTGTAGGATTATTAGAGACTATGAAGTCACTAGTTTTAAATTTTTTATGAAATATATGATGAGCCTAACTTGTTAATGGGTTTAACATTTTCTACCTATTATGTTTTTGAGTGTTTCACTCGAAATTAAAGCAAATATGCAGTTTAGAATGGCTCATGATTAAACATAATAGACATTCATTGTCTGTTATATTTAACAATATATGTTATATATATATATATATATTTTGAATACAGATCAAATGTTTTTTCAGTTAGGTTTGGAATTCATTAATTTCTTAGTGTTTCAAAAGGATGAGTTGCCTCTCCTTGAATTTGGAATGACATGAATTATACTAACATTGTTTAACAAGTCAAATGCATGTGAAGCCTGATTAACCAATGAAAATAAAACAATACAAAAATTAAAATACCAGAATTTCTGTTTTATATTTTCTCTATATCTCATTCTCTGATTAAGTTTGTCAGATTGAGAGAAAATAGACAAAAAAGACAAACTTTGATATTTTAAATTTTGTTTGAGTCACTTCTCATTGGTCAGTCACATATCACATTCATTAAAACCATAGATAATTCTATATGTAAGTTTGTAAAGATTCTTTTATGTTTAAGGGGTATTGGATGGTAATGTATATTGGTAATTGTGTATGTATGTATGTGCGTATGTCTTCACCTTTGTGTGGTCAGGTAGCACAGCGGAGTGGCATTTGACTCTAATCTGGGACTGATTCTTTTAAGCACATACTCTTTGCATTAGATTCTTTAAGAATGGATTCAATTAAAGATGGTGATGTAATAAGAATTTCTAATAAGAATTTTGAATAATTTATCATCTTGTGAAAGCTTATTGAATATTTAATCCAGAAATCAATTTGGTGGCGGGACAAAACAAACACTTAATGTCAAAGTTACTGAATAAACTGTCTTTCAAACTTTACCATGGGATCAGACTGAAAAAAAATTAAGACTACTTAAATTGAATGGTTTACTTGTTAAAAAGGAAAAGAGGAAATTTCTTTTGTTGGGTGGGGAAATAAATTTTTTAGATTAGCTTTCATTAGACCTTCCTCAAACATTTGTCAATTGAAAAAAAAATTCTATATCATTTTAGAAGGAGTAGGAATCCTATTTATTATATAAATACAGTGACAAATTGATTCCTGACCTCTTAAAATGTAATCTGTACTTTGTTTTTATTTGAAACTATGTTTATATCATTCATAACTATTTACTACTGATGTTCTTTTCCCAATCTATTATAGAACACCATATAAGTAGTTTCAAACTTGACATATGTAAATAAAAACAAAGTGCCATAAATTTGGGTGTACAGGTCGAGTTTTCAAGCCTAAAAAAATCTTTCTAAAACTATGGATTGATTTGTATGACAAGTATAAAATGCTAACCTTTACCATAGAGTTGCAAACAAGTGGGACAGCACCCCTAACAATTACTGTACACCATTTACTGTGCCTCCCAGCAAGCTGCCACAAATATATCCCTCTGAAAATTGTGTTTGATGAACATATCTATCATATTAACAGAGATTGGTGGTGTCACTGGTTGTTTGTTTACATCCTTGTTGCAAATGGTGGATGAGTAATAGTGTTTTACAATAACATACAATATGTAGCAGTACCATAAAAAAACTTCCTGATATCATATAATCTAATGGTATTAATATTTTATAGAAGTGATGTTGACTTTGACGTGTTGATCAGTAGATCTGACAAATTTTAAGTGTTTAAGTTACACTGATACAATATATGGTACCTACCAGTGTGTGTTGTCGGTTGTTTGCTATACAGTGTATATAGAAAGATATTATGGTTATTGTCTCAATATACAGGTAAGTGGTGTGATCTTATGTAGTTTTGACACAGGTTATCGAATACTGTAGCTTAACTTCATTTACCAGTAGGCTTAAGTTTTGGGCCACTATTAGCCTACTGTATATTTTAGGGGTCAAACTTTATGGTAGGTATAGGCCTAAGTCAGAATTTTGAGCTAAAAATGTTGAGGTCGACTTGTACGCCACAGTTTACGGTAAATATTAAGAGTTAAAGATTAATAAAAAACATTTTAAGGATTTAAATTAAAATATACAATATAATGTCCTATCTTTATCATTCATGAGTGTGAATATAAATAATAACTTTTCATCCCGGAAATTAAGACAAAAAAAAAAAAATTCAAATAAAAAAAAAAAAACAGTTAAAAATGGTGATGGGGAAAGTCAAGTTTCCTGAAATATTCCATAATTTGTAGAAAAAGTTACATACTGTAAATTGTGACATACAAGTTGAATTTTCAAGCCTAAAAATATTTTTGGGTTCATAGTTTTGGGGGTTAACCTATCTGGTTGGTATAGGCCTAAGTCAGAATTTTAAGCTAAAACTCTCAAGGTTGACTTGTACACCACAATTTACAGTACAGATAATTCTTTATGAAGTCAGGGATTGATTTGATACTGTACATTATGAACAGGATCTGCCCCTTGTAAAATGATAAAAAAATCAATATTTTTTTTATTCTGACAAATGCAGTGGCTTGAGGACAATTTACTAATTTGATGCTAATTTACAAAAATTGCTAAAAAAAAAAAATTCTCTTTCATTAGCAGACCAATCAATTTAAGTAGTGCCAAAATTGAGATAACTGAAATTGGTGTGTATATATATATATATATATATATATATAATATATATATATATATATATATATATATATATATATATATATATATAATAAATGATCTTTTTGTGACAAGAGAAATAAAAGGTTTCAGTTGGAACTTTCATGGAAAGCCTATCATTGAAAAGTTTAGCAATCTCCCAATTTCTTTCAAAACAAAATGTCTGCACAATTTGTAAGATGGCATATTTTCTTTCAGGAGGAAAAAGACAACATGAGTATGAACAAGAAAAATACAAAGAAGACGTTTCATATTGACGAGTCAGATCTTCTGTGCCAAAATGGCTGTGGTTTCTATGGTAACCCAGCCTGGCAAGGTTTCTGCTCAAAATGCTACCGGGAAGTCTACCAAAGGGCCAAACAAGCACAAGTTCAACATGATGCCTTGCAGGAGGCCAAAAGGTAAGCAAAATACAAGATTTTGTTTTATTCAAATACTTGCTAGATTATTATTATTAACTGCCTGGGTTATAAAATAACTTTCAAGATAATCATTAACTTCTGTTGGTTAGTTTTAGATTCTATACTTTTATTTAATACTAAACTCATGTCATGGAAATGATGAGTTTAGCTGTTTCCTTATAAGGAAACATTCAGCAATCATTAACCAAACAGCCTTAATGTTTTTTTTAAAACAGTTTTTCACAAAAATAGGTTTCTCAATTCCATTAACCGTTATTGCTCTTTCTTGATGTATTGATGGGAGTTTCCTTCCCAACCTTTTGTTTGAGGTAGTTTGGAAAGTTTTTGATTACATCATTTTCTCTTCTAGTTATATTTTAGTCATTGTTACTGTTAGAAATTTTCAAGTGATGTGGTTTTTCTTATTTGGTAAAGTTCTTTGTGATTCTGTCTATATTTCTGAAATGAGATATTGTAACTATTTACACTATTTACATTGTTTGGACTGTTGTTCTCATCTTTGTCATAAGCTCTGGCTTTCTTCAAATCAGTGTTCAATGGTCAAAACATTGTTTGAACTGTTGTCCTCATCACAATGTAAATAATGTAAATTCTTTTGATTCTGTAGATCTGTAAAATCTGAAGTATTGTCTTTTAAGAACCTGAAGGATTCATTTGCTTGAAGCTATTTTTAATCCTTAATCTGGGAAAACAGCTGTATGTCACTGATAGTTTATGCATTTCTGAATGAGTTTGCATGACATCCATATGGGACTCTCGATCTGATAAGGCTATTTAAAAACATGACTTTTGTTCTTAGGTTAATGTTTTGGTTTCATAACATCTTGTGGTGTTGGACAAAGCTACCCCCATCCATCCAATCCTGCATACATTTAAATTTTTTTGCTTCATGCATTGATGGAAAATAAAATTGCAGCACACTGAAAGACAACAATGATTTTCATCTGGATATAATTCATAATAACAGTTGAATTCATAGCTCTCCTCCCCCCAGCTATGGGTAAATATTAGGACAGACTAGGTTCTATAGCCTTGGGTGATCACCGGTTGAGGGGAAGGAAAAACTGTATATTGCCTTGGCAAAGCACATACTATGCAGTTAAAGGAAAGGATCATTTGTATTGACTCTGTAAATCTAACTACAGTCAACAATATGTGCATACAGCAGGTAGTCAATATTCTGATAAAATTTTCAAAATATTTGACCATCTTGTGGTGCATTATTACTTGTAACAATGCACTACCTGTGTCTCAGCTTCAGACAATGATGCATACTTTGATAAAGTTCAGTGTGGTAAATTACCCTAGTGCAATCAGGTGCCATGTCACAGATGCACACTTGTTCAATTAGAGCCATTTGAGAAGGGTGCCAGATTGTGGGCCTTTGAGAGGCTGAATTTTGATTTTGGTGAATTTCTGCACAGGCTGGATATGACACATTTGTGGTGCTTTAATGTTAGCAACAGTGGTCAAATGAACATTCCTCTATCTGTAGACCAGGTTCTGGACAGCAACAGATGCTTGCTAGTACCAACATATTGTAAAGGCAGTAGTAGCTGACAACATGGCAACCAGAGCAGATGTGACCTCAAGATTGTCAACATGAACTATTGGTAATAGTTTATTTGTAGCAGTAGTACAGGTGCATGTGCCTCTAACATCTGCATGTTATGATATAAATGTGTTTCACGTTACTAAGTGTATAGTGGCAGAACAAAGAAGAAGAAACAAAAATTTCAAGAAATAAACAATTGTATTAACATAAAATACAACAAATGAAAAATCAGGCTAGATGTCTCTCGTATGGAGAAAAAAAAAAAAGTGGAGCAGTAAAGGTGTCCAGTTAGGCGTTGTGGAAGGATGACTTGTGACTTACTCGGGTGATGGCGTTTGGCAAGCCAGTCAAATCTGATATCTTTGGAGATGGGAGGTTGCTTTTCAACAAAGTATGTGAACTCTGGTCAAGATGCCGTCCAACTGCTGAATATCCCTTTAATGGGTTCTTATGTTCTTTTTGAGACTCAAATCGGCTCCAATTCTCATTTTGTTTCTTTAGGTGGGAGCAGGTGTTATTGGATGGAAATTCTGGATTGTATTGCTTCTTTTTTTTTTTTTCTTTGAGTTTGTGACTAAACAGAAGATATATGTGGAGCCTTGTGCAGCTGATGGATTTTTAGTTGAGTTTTGGCTGTTCAGTGTTCACATCTAGTTAGTGGTGGAAATTAGTGTAGCATGAATCAGAAGATCTGTAATACACATATGCAATAAAACTGTCATGCAGTGCCATGAGTTACCTGAGGGGTGGACTGACAGGTTCTGCTTTTAAGCAAATGATGATTGCTTGTGTGTACATCACGGATCTCAACAGTTGAACCAGTGGATGAAGAGGGCTATGCAAAATAGACATGTTACAGAAGGTGCCACTCAAAATTATAAGAGTCAGTTGCAGTCCATTGCAGTTTCATAACTGGATTCTGCATGTCACATTCCATATGTGCCACAAAGGAAGGTCATGAAATCAAGTGTGTGGGTCACTTCCTGGCAAGTTGGGGTCCACTGTAAGCAAATTCATGCCATCAGCACTTTCTTCTATTCTGATTTTCTTTCACCCACAACCAACTCTTGCAAAGCCAAACAGCAATGAGGAATGGATGATTGTATCAGGCTTTGGTGAAACTGGAAGCTTCTAGTCCTAAACCTTCACATTGGCAGTGAGTTTAGTGCCATCTTCATAAAGGAAGCGATCAGCAAAGAAGAAATTTAATTCTTGGATACAAGATAAAGCCACTGCTTATGACACCATAGACTTGGCAAGCAACATCTTCCAGCATTCATTCATCCACAACACCCTGGCTTAACCATTGACATCATGGTGTGAGGTACCATAAGTTAAAACTCTCATTTGCTTTTGTTGTTTGTAGAGGAAACATTGAATAACCAGAATATTATTCAGCTCCCTGGTCTGATACTATTCGTGAGTTTAGTGATCAATGCCATCTTCATAAAGGAAGCGATCAGCAAAGAAGAAATTTAATTCTTGGATACAAGATAAAGCCACTGCCTATGACACCATAGACTTGGCAATCCATTGCAACATCTTCCAGCATTCATTCATCCACAACACCCTGGCTTAACCATTGACATCATGGTGTGAGGTACCATAAGTTAAAACTCTCATTTGCTTTTGTTGTTTGTAGAGGAAACATTGAACAACCAGAATATTATTCAGCTCCCTGGTCTGATACTATTCGTGAGTTTAGTGATCAATGCCATCTTCATAAAGGAAGCGATCAGCAAAGAAGAAATTTAATTCTTGGATACAAGATAAAGCCACTGCCTATGACACCATAGACTTGGCAAGCAACATCTTCCAGCATTCATTCATCCACAACACCCTGGCTTAACCATTGACATCATGGTGTGAGGTACCATAAGTTAAAACTCTCATTTGCTTTTGTTGTTTGTAGAGGAAACATTGAACAACCAGAATATTATTCAGCTCCCTGGTCTGATACTATTCGTGAGTTTAGTGATCAATGCCATCTTCATAAAGGAAGCGATCAGCAAAGAAGAAATTTAATTCTTGGATACAAGATAAAGCCACTGCCTATGACGCCATGGACTTGGCAAGCAACATCTTCCAGTATGCATTCATCCACAACACCCTGGATTAACCACTGGCATTATGGTGTGAGGTACCATAAGTTAAAGCTCTCATTTTGCTTTTGAAGAGGAAACAGTGAACAACCAGAATATTATTCGGCTCCCTGGTCTTATACTATTCGTGCAGCTGGAATATGATAGACTGTCCCATCAGAAACCTGCCAGTCTACATGATGCTTGTGCTACTTAAGTCTCTTAAAGATGTTTGAAAACTTGCCTAGACCATATAGACGCTAGTCCTGTCTCACATTGAACTTAATAGGATGCTGCTGAATTCATTCAGTTAGACGATCTTCAGTTCTTGTATTGTCAACCGGTGCAAGAGATTTGAAATAAATTATTTCAGGATTGTATTTGCTATTTCTATAATCATGTGCATGTAAGAGTACAGGCTAAGGGGGATATACAGTGTATTAATATGGGGTCTAATTATTGTTAGTACAATCTTCATTCTGGAACTTGTGCACATATTGATCTGTATATGTGATAATTTACTGTAATTCAACTATATTACCTCTGTTTAATTTTGAATAAATAGTAACATATACTCTTATGCTGCACTGTAGGGTAATAGTTACTGCCCACACTTTGATTTTGATCCTCACTGGGTGCTCTTTGTACTAGTGTAAGCTTAGTAAATACCAGTACTATATTAAAATTATAGGTATTATAAACTATTTGGAAAGTTCTTCTCTTCAGACCTTGCCATCTATGCATATGCTCTCTTTCTCATACACACACACACTCTATCTTATTTATACAGATGCACATATACAATATATACTCAAGTAGTATAAAGTGAGTTTTTATAAGTTTTTTTTTTTTTTATACAAGAAATAGGGGACAGCAGTATACATAAGTTTTTTTTTTTTTTTTTTTTTTTGAGGAGGTTAAAAATTATACATTTTCTGTGACGGGTTGCACTATACAAAGGTACACTTTTTTCTGGAGGGGCTAAAATTCATGCAAAAAAATTCAGGCTTCACATTATACATGAATATGGCTTATACACAAGTGTATTCAGTATATATTGTTGACATTTTTTTATTTCTTCAGACTTTTTATTATTTTTACTCTTGAGTTGGCTTATGTCACAAAAGGCAATAAAGTAATAAAAATAATTTTCTCAAATACCATAAAGTTGGCCAGATATTGTCTTTTTTTATACATTAAATCAGTTACTTTTTTTAAAGTTATTATTCAGTCTATATGTATATAAAGGACAGTGTTGTGTGTGTGTGTCCAGCTAAAAGTAAAAAAACTACAGTAATTTGTGATAAAATAAATTTATATACTGACTCATTATCATCCAAGCCAGCTTTTTGTAATGCATTTGAAATTCTCAGAATTAAAAAGTAAAAACGAACAGTAATAATTCTTATTCTCAAATCTGATTACTGTTCGTTTTTTACTTTTTTATTCTGTTAAACACTATACAAGTATGTATTTTTAAAATTTCTATTCTCTTGAATTTATTTTTATATCTATAGTAAATAAAAGGGTAACTTTAAAAAATGATTATTAAAACAAAGTAAATTTAAAAGAAGAATAATATTAAATACAATTATTTGACAAAAAGTTTAATATTTATTTATTCAATTATTCGTGTGTGTCCAGCTAAAACTTAAAAACTACAATAATTAATGTGTGTGTATGTGCGTGTACTGTTGACTTATTAATATTTTTTGGCCATCTTATGGAAAATAATTTTTTTTATTTAAACATTAAAAAATAAACTTCATTGTTTTTTTTTTTGGTTTGTAACAATCGATCATAGAAGAAAGTACAGATATTTTTAATACTGCATAATAAGTGCTGCTTAGCAATTATTTCAATAGATTTCTTTTTAATCTTTTTCATTCCATGCAAGGCAGTAAAGACACTAAAACACAAGGGGTTAGTGGGTGTTGAAGAATTAGGAACAGAAACATTAATAATGAGTGGGAAGAGGAAAGAGTAATCAGGAGGACAGTAGATAGCGATTGACATTACATTTAAATTTTTGCAGTTTAAAGTTTACTAGAAAGCATGGAGCTCGAAGTAGTTCCACAAGCGAGGAGTGTAAGAAAAGAAACTTAACATAGAACTTATGCTTGCATCAAGCCAACTCAATTGATAAGATCTCAACACGAGCCTAGTACTAGCAACCTTTAACTAAACAGCATTAAACTGGTATTATGAGGGGTGCTGAAAAATTCTCACTTCAACCCACTTCTTAAAATCTGACCAAACATCAGAATTCTTTTTATTTTTATTTCTTTTATGAGCCTTTTAGGTCAGGCCAAGAACTTTTCAATCAACACTCCTACTATTTTATCAAATAATTTGTCTTTTCTTTTTTTTTTTTTTTTTTTTCTTTATTTTTTAACATTTCTTCCAAAGCAAGGCAATAAAGCCTCTAAGATGCAATGGGTGTACTGAGTGTTAGAGAATATAAAAAAAAAACATTATTAAGACAAGAGAACAGTAAAAGAACAAGAATTAAGAAGGTAGTAGATAACAATAGACATTGCATTTGAATTTTTGAAGATCAAAGTTGACTGGAAAGCAAGAAGCTGGAAGAGTTCCACAAACAAGAAGTGTAATAGAAGGAACTGTTAATATAGAGCTTATGGTGACAATTACTAATTTCAACTGTAAAATGATGAGACCTTTCTACCAATCTAGTACTGCACTTCATAAAGTCTAGCTACCATAGAGGAAAAGTTCATCAGAACAATTATCATGAAAGTATTTATAGAAAAGGCACAGCACTAGCCAGTTACAATGTTGCATTTTGACAAGGTTGTTATCTTATGTTACATTTTTTACCAAACTTACACCCAATAAAAGGTTTGAGAGGCATTCAATGTAGAGGTTACAATGAAAATGGTAATGCTGATTACACTTTGATCTTAACCAAGTGTAAAAAGACAGTATTTTGTAATGCATAACTAAAATGTCTCTTTCTGTTTCAATTATTTTTAAATACAAAGGTGACAATAAAATAAGCCAATAAAATTTAATGATGAGTTTGAAAACCTGTTAAACCCAGGTAGTATTGAATAACCTTGCTGGTTAAACAGAAAAAATAATTCATATTTACTTGATGATATCAGAGAATGCCCCAAATAACAAGAATTTTTTTAAGTGTCTTTGTGTAGAACCTGGACAAAATTAAAAAAACAACTTTTTTGACAGAAGTCTAAGAGAGTTTCCAAATAAATTAATATTGCCCAGCTTTCAATTTAAATCAATTTTAACTTGTGTAACTTTCATATATATATATATATATATATATATATATATATATATATATATACACACACACACACATACATACTTTGCACCTGATCATTGTCCAATATCTTGGCTATTGTTTGCAGTTTTTAATCTCTCTCTAAAACCACAGGTGTTGTTAACTTCAATTGATTTCAAAGGTATTACACATGTGAGAGAGGTGGGGGAATTGCTATGCTGAACTTTGTTGTGCAATATAAATGCTGATTTTCAGACTATATATCTTTTGACAAACAATGACCACTGGATTTTAGGTACCCTTCACTGACCTGGTAAATTTTAGAAAATTGTAAAAATTAATAAAAAATTATGCAGATACATATTAACATTAGAAGTGACTGGTCATTGTTTCTGCAGATCAAATTCTCAAATCTTTAGCACTTTGTCCAGACAATGATGAGTGTTGAATTTTCCTTGTATCACCAGTTTCTATAAACTCACCTCTAGCTCATTTCTCAGTTTCTTTTTAATGAGACTGGGTTATTTCTCAGTTCCTTTTTAATGACGTTGCATTACTTCTCGGTTCCTTTTTAATGACGTTGCATTATTTTTCAGTTCCTGTTAGCTCCCCTTTCTGGACATTTTTTTCCTACTTATAGCTAATCTTTCATATTTTACACTTTCTTCAATTTTCAAGTAAGGTTTTAGTATTTTTCGACTTTTCCCTCACATTTTTGCTCTTCATTGATCTGCCGAAACATCCATATCATTGATCTTTTTAGCTGTTTTTGATATTTGTGAAAATGAGGCCAAAACTTGATTTTTGCATTTATCTCATTTGTTATATTTTTCTTACTTGTTATTGATATTATTCCTTTGTCATGTTCTCTGATTATCAACAGATGACATGATAGGAATTTGCTCAGTTAAGCACACCTGTATTTTATCAATAAATATAAAAGGGATGATTTTGTTTTTGTATGTTTTTTTCTCTCTTTATGATACGTATTTAATGTTCATCGCTTTATTTAGGGGTAAGAGTATCTCCAGATAAAAAGATCAAATTTGATATATCCTATGCATGTGAGGGTGTTGAAAAGTTCTCGGCTTGACATACTTTTCAAAATTCAAATATGTTGGTATTCTTTCTTGGTTAGTCTGAGAACTTTTCAGTATAGTTTCACACACACGTGCATGTGTATATATTTAAATATGTATTTGTTTGTTCCTATGTACCCTCCATGCACATACATGTATTTCCACATGTGTACACATACATAGTCTGAAGATTATACTGAAATGTGAAACTGACAGTTATCATGCAATGTTGAATCCTGTGTCCGTGTCCGCGCACACACACACACACACACACACACGATTCATTAAATAAAAATTTTAAAATAAAAAAATATCCTTGATAAAGGTTAATAAAATAGCTGAAAGCACTCGGATATATAGAACATTCGGACAATTTTTACACACTTTATGTCCAGAAAAGAAAATACATCTATGAACACAAGAAAAATTGTATAAAAAGCTTAATCACAGTAACTTGTGAGTTGTCTTTAATGAAACTTGTATAAAAGAGGGATTGCTGCCCAAATATACACATACAACTCGGACACCTATTAAAGTATAAAAAAAAAAAATTACTAGAATTTTTTTTATTTTAAGGCCAGAAAAATTTTGCCATAAAAATGTTCTATAGAAAACTCTAGAAACAATTTATTTGTTAAAGCATCTGATCCTGATGAGCAGCTTTATGCAAAACTTCATATAAGTTCATTGTATTGAAAACAATATACATACATACACACACACACACACATATATATATATATATATATATATATATATATATATATACACACACACACACACAAAAGATGAAGCAACCAGTTTTAAAGCTAAAAGTAGATTTTGGAAAGACTAAACATTTTTCAATTGTTCATTTATATTATTTTATTTTTTTCAAAAATGTGTCCTGAACCAAATTATTTGCTTATCTTTTTCCTACTATTTTTCCTTTCAACAATGCTATTGTACTCTTACTATATTTAATTTTAATGATGATTACAAGTTGAATTGCTTACCAGCATAAGGAGCAATTCTCATTTCTGTCTGCCAAGTCACCTGATGACGGTCAGAACATACACCAAATTTAAAAAAAAAAAAAAAATAAATAAATAAAAAAAAAAATAAAGTAAAATATCTTAGAAATAAAATATTTGTTTGTATATTTACATACGTAAAATAAAACTACTGCATAATGTTTTTTTTCTTTTCTTTTAAATTTAGTTCCAATCAGCTGTGGAAACTTCCTGACAGGTTTGTAATTTATGAATAACCAACTGCAACTTTGGTTCTTATAACATTCTTCTTGTTATTACTATTACTAATATTATTATAAATTATATTAGTGCATTAGTCATTATGGTCTTTTGTTGCTTTTTATTATAGAATTTTACTATTTTTGTTCTATATTACATTTTAAATATTTCTTCAGTGTTACTTTTCTCTTTTATCCTCAATTTTTACTTTTCTATACCATAATCATTTTCTTCACCTTTTGTCATTATTGTTATTTAAAATTTTTTAGTATTATTTTCTTTATTCATTTATATGTATTAATATATTATTGTATCAAAAATATTTAAAGTTCACAATACTTATCAGAGGTCAACTTAGTTTCATGAGTCCTCATTCGTCAAGACTCAGATACTTGGAAAGTATGAAAAATGGCTAATATTTCCATCAAACTTTGCTTTTGTGACTAGAATATTTCTGAAATTTATCTATTCCCATTGGGAAAATTAATGAATGTGAGCATTTACACAAAGTAGGAACAAAATGATATAACATTTGATTCAAAAGTTGCATTTTATTTATTCTAGGATTACACAAGAGAGACCATAAAAAATTTAGATGTGCATAGTTTTTCATGATTTATGCTTCTATTGTAAATTACTTTCATGAATCGGCTCCAAGTATAGTCTCCTATCATGTTTTCATTGTACAGTCCTTAATAGCAGTGTTCAAAGTTCAGTATATCCTGGTGGAAGTGCTTGCCTTGCTCCTCTGAGTATGCCTCCATGTTCTCCTTGAATTTATCAAGATATGTGTCAAGGATATGGACTGAGAGACATCCTGCAGCCCATTTTGCTGTAGTTCTTCACCAGGGTCTCTACAACCTACACATAGTTTTCAGCTCTGTGATTTCCCAGGAAATGCCAAACCACTGTGACAAAAGGGTTCCATGCTACTTTCTTTGTGCACTCTATGATCATTTTTTATTTGTGGCCCAATGAAAACACTAACTTTGATTTTTGCCACAGACAGCTTAGAGAAAAAGTTTTAAAGGTACTTGAAGGTTACAGACTCATTAGCTAGAGCTGTGACAAATTGCTTCATAAGGCCCAATTTTAAGTGCAGTGGGGGGAAACAATATTTTCCAGTGCTCAACATTTGATGTTATTTCTCCCCACACTGAATTTGGCCCACTGTGGCCAGTCCTGCCTGTGGTAGTGTGCCATGGTGTCCCTGCTGACCCATCAGGATGGCCACCATTTTGAAGTCCTTGATAACCTTCCAACGACACATATATGAAATTTCAGGGCATCTAGCAAGATCTTGATACTGCTGTATTCTTTGAGCTGTACCAAAGGAGCTCAGGGAAGAGATGGATACATATTCCTGTTATGAGGCAGCATGGCTCTAAGGATCCTGGGTGAGTTATCAATGAAGATAGACTGCTCGCTATGGTTAGTGATGAATCCAATTACCTCAAACAGACTGGTCACATTGTGGCAGAAGCATAGCCACAACTGGTGAAAAATCTTGAAAAACACTGGTGACATTTTCTTTTATGTGTAACTTGCACATTTTCATCTAACAAATTTCACTGCTTAAGTTTCAGCATCAAAAGCTTGGCAATGGATTTTGTGAGACCAAAATCTCTGATCAGGTTGAAGAGATCATTTAGTTTGAATAGTATGGGTTTCTCTTTTCAACTGCATCTCTGTAATCTGGATCAATGATTTCATCCTTTTCTGAACTGTTGTCCTCTTCTGAAGACATCTTCTCCCTCTTTTTGGAAGTGTGGGTATGGGGAGCTCAGGGCAGTCTGGCACTGGTTCGATGGATGACAGAAGGTCTGAATATATGATAGCAGGCACATTCTTGCCATCTCAATGTTGGAAGGGTCCACCATGCAGTTGCATGAGAGGTCAGTTAATTCCCTCCAAATCTGTGATATTGCAAATTTCATGGCTCTATTTTGTGATGTCAATGAACACTCGTTGCCTCTTCATCGATATCAACGAATACTTGTCACTTTTGTAATTCCCATTATAGTAGAGACTTTGTAATCACAGATACAACTATAATATGCTGTTGAACAATGCTGGTGTCAGATACCTTTGAATAATACCCATACTAATAGTACTTCATATAGTGAATAGAGTAGAGAATAGCGAACACTAGTAATAGAGGATAGACTAGGGATAGCGAACACTAGTAATAGAGGATAGACTAGGGATAGCAAACATGTAAGACATCAAGTAACTTCCTTTATATATGCTTCTATGGTCATGTGGTCTACTTAATTCAGTAATGAGATTGCCTTTGTTTGTTCACTGGCAATCTACGTTCAAACACAAGTGTTGTCAATGACACTTTATTCCTACATGACAATTTACCGCTCTGTACCATCTTACAAAAGAGCAAAATAAAAATATGAGTATAAAAATACAAATATATTTCACCTAGTGTTATTGAAAAATTCTGAAAAATTTACGTTTTTGATTTTTGACATTTCTAAAAATTGTGCACTGGATACGTAAAATTCTGACTTTCAACCCCAATTAATGTAGCAAATGACATAAAAATAAAGAATCTTGAATACTGAACATTTAATATTCCATATTTTTATGGCCCTTGCCAGTGATTCAGTATAAAATACCTTTATGATACTGTGGACAGTAATACACAATTGTGGAAACATATTTAATACATGTTTTTCAATAACACTGGTTTAAAAAAATATAAAAGTAAAAAATGTTTAAATTTTAAAAAATTTCAAAATTTTTACACTTAAAAATTGTATCTAAAATAGCAGAACTTTCCATCTTACCTTCTAGATTTCTTTTGCAGAGTTTATGGATAAAATGAAGTGCCCAGGGTCTGTCTTTTTTTCCTGATAGGCATGCCAAAATATGTCTTGTAGCAGATGTTGCCACAGAGCATTTTTTCACTTGTCTTGATAAATTCGTACATAGCAAAATGCATCTGCCAGTTGCTTACAACCTCTTGATGCCATCTGTAATGAGTGCATCCATCAACGACGTCTTGTCTGCACTTGGACAGCTAGAAGTAAAGTGAATTGTTCAGCTTATGTTCCTTATATTTATACTGCCATCTATGTTACCAGAAAATTCTTGAAATTCTTAGAAACATCTCAAAAGTTCTTGAAAATTCTCCTTCAGCACTGAATCTGTCTGGAATGTAATGGAAAATAGTTTAGTTTCAAAACATTGATGTCCAGGTGAAAAAAAAGCAAAGTTTGAAGAGACTAGCAGTCATTTCCTTTGCTTTTTAGACATAAGTAATTAAGAAATAACACAGTGACCAAAGAAGAAAAAAAGTCAAAACTTTGTTACAGTGTTATTGTATTATTACAGAAAATATATTTTATTATTTCATAAACACATTATATGCTAGATAATTTAAATAGATGTTGTTACTACTATTTCATTATTATTGTTTTATTTATTTTATGTAATGATAATTAAATTTAGTTAGTCTATATAATAAATGTTTATAAAGTACTAAAATATATACTCCGTAATAATTAATACAGTCATTCTTGTCTGGGTCCTGACAAGTGAGGAATCACAAAACTCTGAGTCAACCTCTGATAACTATTATAATTTTGAATTATTCTAATAAAAGAATTATTCTTACAATCCAAAATATGTTTCAGCATTAAATAACCTGAAATGGGTTGATAAGCTGTAAAAAAAAAAAAAAAAAAAAAAAAAAAAGAAAATCAAACGCGACTTTCTGGCAAATTTAAAATAACTATAGTAAAGTCAGAAATTTTGCTGCTTTTGTCTATCAAGTGTGGCTTGTTTCAACATTCTGTGGCATTTTCTTTTGCATGCTATTGTGAAACATTATTATATACAGGAGTTGAAAGGCATGAACAAATGATGCCTTTCTGATGTGTATTTTATTTATATATATATATATATATATATATATATATAGGTAGAAAGATATATACCTCAGTTTTAAATAATAAGCATTAAGTGAATTAAACATAGAATTTAGTGAATTAAGTTACAAATTTGTAGAATGGGAAGCAAAATAAGAACATTCTACCACTATAAATTAAATAAAGGGTTCAGTTCAAAATTCCCCAAGGTTACCCAAATCAAAAGATTTCTAAAGAAGGTTAGAGGGTACAGTGGCCAAAACAATGTGATAACAACAAAGATGAAGATGTTAGTTTAGGTACAAATAATGATAATTCCTCATCCTAGAAATTCAAAACAAGTTATAAAAAGTATTTTCAAAAAATAAATTTAGGTAATAAAAATAAAATTTTCACTTAGGGATTATAATAGGAAAGAAAATAATCATAATTAAAATTGAAATGGGTATTTATTTTGTTTATATTTAAAAAGACAAATATTTCTTATTCTTTTAAATACAAGGCTGAATTTCTACTGCTTTTATTCTCTATTATTACATTATCATTAAAAGAACTGTACCAAATAACAGAAACCACATCTCTTGGGGACTACCAGCAGCAGCAGCAACAACTAAATTGGATAGTGCATTTAACTCAGAGAAAATGATGTGCACTGGATATGTAAAAATATGATTTTCAACCCCAATTAATGTAGCAAATGTCATAAAAATAAAGAATCTTGAATACTGAACATCTCTAATATTCCTCTAATATGTTGACATTCCACATGACTTCAAATAAAGAGTGAAGAAGGAAACCCTCATCAATACTGGAAAGAGCAATGGCAGCTACTGGACTTGAGAAATCTGTTTTCCTGAAAAATATTAAGAGAAATATTTTATAAATTTCAACTGAAAACAGTACAGGCTGCTCTGTCAATAAATGCCATATATTTCATCATAAGGAAATAGCTAATATTACCATTAACATTTTCAAATGTCTTAACAGTTCATGCCAGGATATCATAATGCATATTATTATATGTACAAAGGTTGAAAGACATGGAGAAATTATGCCTTTCTGATATATATCTTGAATACATAGGCCAATAGACTTAAAAAATAAAAATGTGGTG